GGGGGGGGGGTGGAGTGGTACTCTGTACAGACTGTCAACTCTTGAGCACGCGTTGGGTGAGTGAGAGGAGGAGGGGGAGGAGAGGGGGAGGGCGTTTGGCGTGGTACTCAGTACAGACGCCGGCTGTTGGCTGCGAACTAGGCGAGGGCTGGGGGGGGCGTACTTCGACCCCTCCCTCCTCACGGCCGACCAGGCCATACCTCCCTATACCTCCCTCTCTCCCTATCTCCCTCCTCACGGCCGACCAGGCCATACCTCCCTATACCTCCCTCTCTCCCTATCTCCCTCCTCACGGCCGACCAGGCCATACCTCCCTATACCTCCCTCTCTCCCTATCTCCCTCCTCACGGCCGACCAGGCCATACCTCCCTATACCTCCCTCTCTCCCTATCTCCCTCCTCACGGCCGACCAGGCCATACCTCCCTATACCTCCCTCTCTCCCTATCTCCCTCCTCACGGCCGACCAGGCCATACCTCCCTATACCTCCCTCTCTCCCTATCTCCCTCCTCACGGCCGACCAGGCACGCCGCCACTCCGCTGGCCATGTGACTATATGTCTCCCTATATCTCCCTATATCTTCTCGACCGAACTCGGCTCCTCTCGGCTCCTCTTTTCTCCTCTCGGCTCCTCTGTTCTCCTCTCGGCTGCCTCTCGGCGCCTCCCGCACCTCTCGGCTCACCTCGGCTCCCCCCGGCTCCTCTCGGCTCATCGGCTCACCTCTCGTCTCAATCTCGTCTCAATCTCGTCTCAATCTCGTCTCCACCTCGTCTCCACCTCGTCTCCACCTCGGCTCCATCTCGGCTCCATTTCGGACCCTCCCAGGTCCGCCGCTACCGCTGGCCAGCGGCGGTGCGCGGCGCCGACCGCGGCGTCGCCGCCTTCGTCATCGCGCAGGCCTGCGGCGCGAGGCCGGCGGAGCTCGCAGACGCTCCGACGGACGGGCAGGTGTGGCGAGAGGACGACTCGTCTATTACTCAAAGCACTGACGGGACGGACGGCCGGGTGTGGCTGAGTGCGTTGACCTCGTCCGGCGTCGCAGCCGTGGCTTCACAGAGCTGTCACCTCATCACTCAACGAATCACCAGCTCATTGATCCGGCCGGACGGCCAGGTGTGGGAGGCGCTCTGTGCCCCCTCCTTCACGGTGCCGACCCTCCTTCTCCACGGCGCCGCCGACGCCCTCGTGCCCGCCGCCGTCTCGCGCACGCTCGCGGCGCGGATGCCCGCGGCGTCGCTGGTCGAGCTGCCGCGCAGCGGGCACGCCGAGATTATCCGAGATTACCCGAGATTGACCGCGGCGTCGCTGGTCGAGCTGCCGCGCAGCGGGCACGCCGAGATGATCCGAGATTACCCGAGATTATCCGAGATTGCCCGCGGCGTTTCTGGTCGAGCTGCCGCGCAGCGGGCACGCCGAGATTACCCGAGATTACCCGAGGTTATCCGAGATTGCCCGCGGCGTCGCTGGTCGAGCTGCCGCGCAGCGGGCACCGCACGCGGAGGGCATTTCCACGACACGTCACGACACGTCCACGACACGCCCACGACACGTCCACGACACGTCCACGACACGTCCGCGACACGTCCGCGACACGTCCACGACACGCCCACGACACGCCCACGACACGTCCAGGTGGACGTGGTTCGCTACCCTGGGCTCGCCTCCTTCCCGCAGAAAGAGCTCGCCGACCGGCAGCACATGAACGGCGCGCGAACGGCCCACCCCCCACACCCCTACACACCCCTACACACCCCTACACACGCACTCACGCACGCACGCACGCTCGCACGCGCGCCCGCGCACCACTTGCACTCCCCGCCTGACTCGTCCCTGACACGTCTCACAGGCCTGCACGGCGGCATGCTCTGGTTCGAGGTCAAGGGCGGCACCGCGGCGGGCCGCGCGCTCATGGATTCGATCCAGCGGCCGT